TAGGGAGATCTACTGCCTTGGTCTCCAAGCAGACTCATAGCAACTTTGTAGGGCAGAGTAGAATTTTTATTAAGGTATTCAGGGCTGTAAATCTTTATGGAATCTGACTTAGAGACAAATGAGTCATATTTGCATGCTCTAAAAGCTTATGGCAATCTTGGGAGTCAGAATCTTTGACAATATATAGGTATGTCCACACTAAATGATGTTGTTGTTGATTGCCTTCGAGTTAAGCATGACTCATAGTGACCCTATGAAAAAAAGGCCTGAAACCACTCTATAACTATCGACATTTATCAAAGTTCATAGAGTTTCCAGAGGCATATTATTTAGGAAGTGGATGCTACTCCTGCTTACAAAGCTGTCATAGGATGTTACTGTTTTTATGTGCCATTGAGTCACCTGTGATGTATAGTGACGCTATGTACACTATTCCCTATCCTGAGCCAGTCACACTAACTCTGACACACCAATTCCATTGCTCCAGTTACTGTTTCAATCCATCTCATCTGGGGTCTCCTTCTCTTGCGCTGCCCATCCACCCTTCTGAGCATGATGTCCTTCTCCAATGACTGATCTCTCCTGGCCACATGCCCAAAGTAAGTGAGGCAGAGCTTCAAAATCCAAGCCTCCAAGGCAAGACTTGGTTTCACCCTCTCCAAAACAGACCTATTTGTTTTCTTGGCAGTCCATGGTATGCTCAAGACTCTTCTCCAGCACCACAACTCGAAGGTATCTTTTCTTCTTCTGTCATCCTTAGTCATTGTCCAACTCTCTGAAGCATAACATGTAATTGAGAATACCATGGCCTAGATTAGGTGCACCTTTGTATTTAAACTGACATCATTGCTCTTCAGCACTCTGGAGAGGTCCCTAACGGCAGATTTTCCCAATGCAATTCATCTTTTGATTTCCTGACTGCTGGTGTTAAGATGGTTGACTGTGGATCCTAGCAAGCTGTAATTGTTAACAACCTCAATCTCTTCTCCATCTAATATGGTGCTGCCAATTGGCCCAGTGGTGAGAATCTTTGTCTTCTTGATGTTGAGCTTCAATCATATTGCAGACTACAGTCCTTGACCTTTTGCAACAAGTGTGTCAGATACTCCTCAGTTTCAGCAAGCAAAGTTGTGTCATCTGCATATCGTAGGTTGTTGATGAGTCTTACTCCAATCCTGATGCCACACTTCTCCTCATAAAGCCCTGCTTCCTGAATGATCTGTTCTGTTTTGAAGATTGAAAATATATGGGGAGAGGATGCATCCGTGATACACTTTTCCTGATTTTAAACCATGCAGTGTTTCCTTGCTCTGTTCTGAGGACTGCTTCTTGGTCCAAGTATAGGTTTTATATAAGTATGATCAAGTGCTCTGAGATTCCCATTTTCCTCAAGGTTAGCCACAATTTATTGTGATCCACACAGTCAAATGCCTTTACAGTTGATGAAACACAGACATTCTTTGGGAACTCTGCTTTCTGCTAAAAGCCCTCTGACATTGGCAATAATGTCCCTACTGCCAAGACCTCTTCTAAACCCAGCCTGTATTTCTGGTAGTTTTCTGTCGAAGTACTGTTCAAGTCTTTTCTAGATAATCTTCAACACGATTTTGCTAGTGTGTGATATTAGTGATATTGTTTATTTCCACATTCTGCCAGGTCACCTTTTTTTGGAATGGGAATAAATATGGATCTCTTCCAATCAGTTGGCCAAGTAGTTGTCCTCCAGATTTCTTGGCACTACTTGATGACCACATGCAGGGCAGCATCTGTGTGCTGAAATATGTCAATTCATATTCCATCAATTCCTGGGGCTTTATTTTTTGCCAAGTCCTTCAGAGCAGCCTGAACTTCCTCCTTCATCACCATTGCCTCATGCTCATATGTTGTTTCTTGAAATATTTCTGTGTCAGCCAATTATTTTTGGTACAATGACTCTGTATACTCCTTCCATCTGCTTTTAATGCTTCTTGAATTATTCAATATCCTGCCCATAACATCCTTAAGCATTACAACTTGTCGCTTGAATTTATTCTTTAGTTTTTTCAACTTAAGAAATGCTGAGCAAGTTCAGCCCTTTTGATTTTCTGACTCCAGCTCCTTGCACATTTCACTATAATGTTTTGCCTTGTCTTCCTGAGCAGCCTTTTGAAATCTTCTATTCAGTTTCCTAACTTCTTGATTTCTTCCCTTTGCTTTGGCTTCTTGGCACTCCCGTGCAATATTCAGAGTCTTTTCTGACATCCATTTTGGTTTTTCTTCTTCTTCCTTCTTAGTAATGACTTTTTGCTTTCTTCATGAACAATATTCTTGATATCTTCTCATAGCTTATCTAGTCTTCGTTCATTAGTGTTCAAGGTTTCAAACCTATTCCTGGGTTGGTTTCTAAATTCATGGGAAATAGACTCAAAGTCAATTTTGATTCCTGTGGATATGATTTAACCTTCTGTCATTTTAATTTGAACTTGCATACGAGCAGATTATGGTCTGTTTCACAATCAGCACCTAGCCTAGTTTTTACCACTGATATTTAACTTCTCCAATGGTTCCTTGCACAGATGTAATCAGTCTCATTCCTGGGCATCCCATCAGGTGAAATCCATGTGTATAGCCTGCATTTAAGTTTTTTATAAAAGGTGTTTGCTATGAATAAATCATTAATTGTACAAAATTATATCATTCTATCCTCAGCCTCATTTCCATCACCAAGTCAAATGATAGGGGCCCAGATTTCCTCAACCAGGGTCTAAATATGTCACAAAAGACCTGCATTGGTGGAGTATTTTACCATCTTTGGAATTCAGTGACTTAGATATTAATTCCTACAGGCTAGCCCCATCTTTCCTCATTGTCCAGTTGTAAGAGATTCCTTGCATGCAACCTAAAGGGTCCGGTGACTTTCAATGTTACTTGCTGTAACCAGACTATTGCTTTTTAAGTGCATCAAAAGATGGTAGATAACCATTTAATCCTGTCATTGCTTCTTAGTTTCCTCAGGTGTAACGATAGCATGATACATAGTATATTTGCAGTGTATTTTTTTCATTGATCCTCTCTCACTTAACCACTGGTCAAAATTTAATAACTAGATTATCACTTTGTGCCAGGTGGCAGTCAGCATGCTATCTACAAGTGATGAGTGATTCAGTCTCACACCTCATCTTATCACCACTTTTCTTGGATTATTCTTTGTATTAACTGTAGGATGGCTTTCCCAGGAGTAGACCATGAGATGGGATGTTTGGAGCACAAGTTTTATATCTAGTATAAAATCTATGAAAGAAAGCAGAAGTGTGGGCAAAGGAAGATAAAATATGAAGAATACTTGGCAAAACTTTGGGCAGCCAGTGTCAAAGTCTGGAACAAGTACAGCCCACCAGAGGTGTTCATGTTGGGCCAATAATGGTAGTATATAAAAACTGAAGGGAGAATATGGCAGTTGCCCCACCATCCCCAAGCTTGACCAATTCCTGAGAAACTTAGTAACACCTGAGCTGGTCGTCAAGAACCAGCCCAAACAATGGATCCTGGTAAGAGTCTGAGCTTGAGAAAAAACAAAACAAAACAAAACAAAAGCTAAAACCTAACTTAGTTAACAAGTCAAATTCCAAAAAGTACCATCTTGGTCCTCCCCAGGACCCTTATAAAAAGGAAACCCCCAAACTGCCCGCTTGCCATTTTGATCCTGTCTCCATGCCATGCTGCTGGGTCCCTTGGCATCCCTCTCAGACCCTGCAATAAAGAGGCCTGTTCATTTCTTGGGACCAATTCCTTTTCTTTCTCTCCCTCGTGCTCTTTGTTTTGTATCTAACAAATACCCTGAGAGCCGGACATCCAGGAAACGATCTTGTTTTGGTCTTGAACATTTCCCACCTTTGATAAGGCGCGGTCTTACATTTTCCTATCACTATTAGTGAAAAGTATTCGAGTTTTCGTTCTTTGGCGTGTTTTTAAGATTTTACTGTCACTAAATTGGGTCCTATCTCAAAGAATACTGACCATTCTCTGCAGATGGATGCATTTTTAACTTCCACCAGTTTACTTAAGATACGCACACCCATATGCGTTTGGGGAACAGCTTTCCCAGAATTCTTAATGTCCTTGTTCTGTTCACACCGCTCCTTTTAAGCCCCTTGATTCCTAATGTCTTGTTCTTTCTTTCCTCATTCTAAGGTCACTTTATAGTCCGAGAGGGCTGCTGGAACTCCCTGATCAATGCAGTGTACTTTCTAAGGCTGTTTGAAAGCAGATCAACACATATGTAGAGGCCTGAGAAAAATGCCAGTCACACACTAATCTACACCGTAAACTTCCTTTCAAAGATAGGAAGTGTAAACAGCCTTGAATTTCCCAGTAAGGGTTCTGGGATAAGAGAAAAGCCTCCAAAGTGAGGCAAACCTAATCCGGAAAAGGAAGAGAACTGTATGGATTAGGGTTTCCAGTGCGGGTCGAGGAGGAAGAGGTGACAAAGCCACACACAGGTGTCTGCAGAGCTGCTGACCCCCATCCGTCTTTAAGAGTCAGATGGTGTTGCTGGGAAGAGCACTTTTATGGCGCGCCGGCAGCTTTTATGGCGTAAAGAAATGCTTAGGAATCCACCTCGGAAACCTAAAGTCAGAGCGCTGTCATCGAAGGCGGCGCCAATTCTGGACGCGCAAGGGCTGGCAGCTCCGATAACGCGGCCGTGCCCAGGAAGCACGGGTTTGCCGGTCCGCAGGTTCGGCCGCTACTACTAGAAGTTCTAACACATCACTGGGCGAGTCCCACGACCGACACATGGAACCATAACCAAGAAGGGCGCCCAACCTCAAATGCACAGCTTGTTGGGAGTGACGTCTTCCCACTTTGCCCAATAGAAGTCCTGAATGGTCTTGACGAGTGGTCCGGGCCAATAAAAACGGAATCTCGGTGTTGCTGGGCGGCAATCAGCGTTCCCAGCCGCTCCCGGAGATGCGCACGCGCAATCCGAGATCCTAACCCTGCCCTGCTCTCCCCTCCCCCAGCGCACACACGTTCACCAGCGGAGGCTGCCGCCCCGCCCGCCCTTCCTGCTCACGCGCGCTCCCGGCTAGAGCCGGTGGCTCAGGAGCGCGCGGGGCGGCTCCGGGAGGAGGTGCGCTCGTGCTCGCCTCGCCGGTGCAGGAGCTGCCCGAGCCGCGCCCCTCCCGTCGCCGCCGCCTCCCGCTCTGGGGCTGGACGGATGCGGCGCTCCCGGCTGAAGGGTGCAACGTAGCTGCTCCCACCCTAGCTCCGGACCCCGACCCAGCCTGGCCTCGGCCCCCTCTGGGAGTGTGCCATGGCTGACCGCGGCTGCCCGCTGGAAGCGGTGCCGCTGCCCACCGAGGTGCGGGAGAGCCTGGCAGAACTGGAGCTGGAGCTGTCGGAAGGTGAGGATGGGGCCCTGGGACCCTGGCCAGCCCCTCACGCTGGCACCTCTGTCCTGTTCCTCGTTCTTGGGAATCCCTCCCAGCCCTTCACACTGGGACATCCTTTCGGCCCTTGCGCTCTGCACCGTGGGACCCCTGGCTTGCCGCACCCCACGGAGTCTGGTCCAGGTGCAAGCCCAGGGGACGCCACTGAAGGACCGGCCCCTTTCCTGCGCTTTGTCCTTTAGCTGGGTCGTTTGGCCGCCAAGCGAGAATCTTGATGAGAATGACCATTTTCATGCAAGCACTGTACAGTGTGAGTCCAGGCTGCAGGCCTGGGCTTCACGAGCGCTACTCCGGCCACTTTTGTCCCCGGGCAGCCGCTGTCCTTGTGGAGTGCAGCTCAGCGAGCCTCTCGAGTTGAGTGAGGCACTGCATCCTGTGCCTTGGGGTGATAACAGCACCTGCCTCTTGGGGTTGTGAGGCTAAAATACCTTAAAACTATGCAGAGCACTTAGAAGCAGTTACTGCTAGTCCTCCTTAGGGCATTTTCCCCCCCTTAAATCAAGCAATTCTAATATATAGTTCTTTGAATGCTAAAAATAAACTCGAGTAATTTGGCTCCAGAGGCAGTGGGTGGCATTTCCAATGCTGGACTTAATTTCTCTCCCAGGCTTCTGTTCCTGGGCCAAGTGTAAGTTCCTGCCCAGTATCAGGAAACAGTTTGAGAAAACCAGCTAAATGTTTCTTAACTCAGTTTTTCAGACTTAGGTGTATTTTTCTCTCTCAGCTTTAATTTTTATAGTTTTAATATTCTTTACAATTTGCATTAGTATGTTTAGCCAGGATTGGGTAAATGATTTCTTGAAACAACTGTCTAGTATAGTAATATATGATAGCAGATACCATGTGCCTAGTCTTGTTCTAAGCACTGGCAGGTATTAAGCCCATAACAGCCTTAGGGAGGTAGATTCTATTATCTTTGCTTTCCACATAGTAATACAGTTGCACTGAGTTTAAAATACAACATTTTGCAGTATATAACTCTTTTTTTTTTAAAGTTATAAAAGTGCAGTAAGAAATGGTATGGATCTGGTAGTTAGATGCTTTTCAGAGGTCTGAAGAACTGACATTAGAAATGGTTCTTACAGGAACTGCTAAACTCAGTTTGTTATGATTATTAATCTAGTGACAGATGCTCTTTAATTTATATGCATTTCAAATATATTTTTTCAGGTGACCCCTAGTTTCTGCTCCAGTGTACTCTTTAGCCCCTCTTTTTTATCATATTGTTGCTGTATTTTAAGTATTTTAAAGTACTTGCTAGTAGTTGATTTAAATGGGATTTGGTCATTTCTTCAAATAACTTTCATAATTTGTATGGCAGAATGCACAAGTACGTCATCAAAAGTAATTTTTCCACAGTAAAATTAAAATTAATTTTAAAAAAGTAATGTTTCCTAGAAAGAAACAAGCAAAAGAATTAACCAAAAAAGGAAACAAGTAAAAAAAAAAAAAAAAGGAAACAAGTAACGATCTGTAAATAAACTTACACTGGTTTCATCTTAGACATAAGGAAGGAATGTATAGATAGGAAAGGGGAATGCAGTTATGTAATTTGGAGAGGATGGAGAAAGTTACTTGTACTGTGAAAAAATATGGACAAGAAAAATGTGAGGAGGGAGAGGATGGCAGAGTACAGCTGTGGCCAGAAGTGCGAGAGTCCTGGTGTCTTTCCAGGCTACTAACCTGGCGTGACACTTTCCTTTTGGCTGAAATAGGTCAGTGATTACTTAGGCACAGCCGCTCTTGGCCTTGTCCCAGGGTACTTCCACACCTTTGATGCTGGCTGCTGTAGTTTTTGATTGTCACAGATGTGGGCTTGTACTTGCACTTGGAGCCGCTTAGTGACAAGGGCTTGTCTAAGGCAGATTTTTGGTATCTTCTATTAGTGGCTGGTATTTGAGTATGTGCCTGAGTCTCCACTAAATAATAATATTTCTTAGGTTTGCTCTGGTGGAAATTGAGATGAGCACTAACCTTGTTGACATCACAGGGTTCTTAAAAGATTCAGTTAGATACTGTATGTGAAAGGGTTTTAAATGCTAAGATGTTTTATTTGTATAATTAAAGGAATGGGTTATTAATGAAGCATTATTTTAAAGTCATCAAAATGAGTGATCATCAGAGTAATTTTTTAAAGTAGAATTTGTAAAACTGCTGTTCTAGAACTGTTCCTTCCCCTTCCAGATTAAGGGAGAAAGAAATTTCCCATTTAGAAAAAAAGTCTTGTCAAAATAGAGTGGCTTTACAGTACTCACATTTGTTAACGTGGGAGAGTGTATAAAGCTAAAGGGAGCTCTGGTGGCCTAGTGGTAAGGAACTGTGCTGCCAGCTCAAAGGCATGCAGTTTGAACCCACCAGCTAGAAAGATTGGCATTCTCCTCCCATGAGATTTACTGCCTCTAAAAACCCATTGGAGGTTCACAACAACATTATAAAGCTTATGGTAGTCATTCCCCTATGTGGGTAACTTTGAGAAGAAGAATCCTAGAACACTTGATTTTGCTTATGTGAAACCTATTCTTGGACAGGGAAGCAGTCATAAGAACAGAGCAAGGAAACACTGCATGGTTCAGAATCAGGAAAGGAGTGTGTCAGGGATGTGTACTGTCTCCATATGTATTTAGTCTGTATGTGGAACAGATCTTTCAGGAGGCTGGATTTTATGAGGAAGAATGTGGCATCAGGATTGGAGAAACACTAATCAACAACCTACGTTATGCAGATGATACAACCTTGCTTGCTGAAACTGAGGAGGACCTGAAGCTTTTGTTGCAGAGAGTCAAGGACTGCAGTCTTCAATATGGATTGAAGCTCAATATTAAGAAGAAAAAGATTCTCACCACTGGGCCAATTGGCAATGCCATGATAAATGGAGAGGAGATTGAAGTAGTTAACAACTTCAGCTTGCTCAGCTCCACAATCAACACTCTTGGCACCAGCATTCAGGAAATCAAAAGACAATGGATTTCTCTGGGGAAGGCTGCTGTCAGGGACCTCTTGAAGAGCAATGATGTCAGTCTGTAGACTAAGGTATACCTGATGAAAGACATGGTCTTCACTATTACTTGATATACATCAGAGAGCTGAACAGTGACCAAAGATGACAGAAGAAGAATTAATGCTTTTGAGTGGTCATGCTGGAGAAGAGTATTGAACATCCCAAGGACCGCTGAGAGAACAAACAAGTCTGTCCTGGAGAGAGTGAAAATGGGCTGCTCTTTGGAAGCAAGGATTTTGAAGCTCCATCTCCCATACTTTGGGCACGTGGCCAGGAGGGACCAGTTCCTGGAGAAGGACATCATGCTTGGAAGGGTGGAGGGAGCAGAATAGGAAGACTCTGAATGAGATGGATTGATACAGTAACTGGGGTAGTGAGGGCAGGAGTGAGGGAGACAATGAGACTGGCTCAGGATAGAGCAGGGTTCAGATCTATTGTACATAAGGTCGCTGTAAGTAATAGGTGATTTGATGGCACATAACAACTCATGCAGATGGAAGGAAGGGAATATTGAAAACAGACAAGATGATGCCTCCATGGACACTAATAGTGAGTGTGATACCTGGATAACCTGGAAAACTCCGGTGCTCCAGCATCCCTTCCCCTCAGCCTGTGTGTTGGCAGTGACCAAGTATGTCCCTGCCTTCATTTGTAAGGGATGACTTCATTCCTTTACAACTTCAGGATTCTCAAATCGACCTTTGTGTTGGAGTTGGCTTTTAGGGGGAGTGCTGATCTTATATCTTCACCTAGGGCAGGTGTGCTATTAAATCTGTTTAATCTGCTAGGAGAACAAATAGGTTCCTTCTGGAGAGGGTGAAACCAGGCTGTTCCTTGGAGACAAGAACTCTGAAGCTCTTTCTGTCAGACTAGTCCTTGGAGAGGTACATCATGCTTGGGAGGGTGGAGGAACACCACAAGAGAGGAAGACGCTGGATGAGGTGGATTGACTCAGTCACTGGGATAATAGGGGTAGGTGTGTCAGAGACAGTAAGGTTGGCTCAAGATAAAGCAGAGTTCAGATTTGTTGTACACAGGGCCACTCTGAGTCACAAGTGACCTGATGGCTCCTGACAACAACAATTTGCTATTATACATAGTTTCTATTTTCTGCTAAAGACTGTTGAGTACCATGGAGTTGAGTCATAAATGACCCATAGCTGACCCTCCAGCAGGTTTTCAGAGGTAGTTAATAGAACTGGAGGAGATGGCCCATCTTTTAACCTTGGTGCAGCTAGCTGGTGGATTCAAACTGCATGCCTTCAGAATTATAGCACAGCTTCTTACCTCTAGGCCACCAGAGCGCTTTATTAAAGATTATAAGGTAGAAGTAAGAAACAGCCCTGGTCTTACACTCCAACTTTCCTGTATGTTTCTCTCTTTTAAATTTAGGGATCTCCTCTAGATTAAGGTTGCAGGGTGAAACTGCATGGAACCTCACTTGTCCCCCCACTCCCCATGAATACTCAGAGAATAGTTGACATGTGTGGCTCCTGAAATCATATCTGAGTGTCTGTGGACTAAAGTGAGATTGTTAGAGGTCTAGTTTTGAGTAAAGAAACATAATGTATATACATTTGTGCCAGTCGTAACAAATTACCTTTCACACACCTCACAGTGGTTTTGGCACATCTGTATAGTTCAGTATGCTTGGGCTATTGCTGCAGAACTGCTTTGAAAATGTGGACTGTGGTGTGAGGTTTATTCTTTGTTTTGTGATTTGTAGGAGATTAGAAGGGAAATTCCTACACAATAGACTACATTTATACCGTTCCTATTTTTACATTTTGACTAATAGTTCTG